GCAGCGTGGTATACTCGTCCTCTTGGATAGCACTACCCTGGTGCAACTCGGGAGTAACCTTCCCATGACACCATAGATGGCTTAGTAATTTTGCGTAACGATGGGCGATATGTGTTTGGCTTGTAGCAGCAGCTTTGAGCATGGAAATGAATTGTCGGGTTAAGTTAAAGTATGTTTGGGATTCTTCGGGAGGGATGGCTCCAACGGAGTAAGCTTTGAAGAGGAAGACGGAGGCATAGATTTCGTAGCTAGATTGTTAGTGGATTGTCATCTGGAGGAGTAAGGGGGAAGACTCACAGGTAATACCGGACAGGGAGGAACTTCACAATGTCGGATGGGGTTATCTCTTCCACGAATGTTTGAAGTAAATCTCTGGCTGCGTTGATGGCTGCGTAGATGTGGCGAGCATCGGCACTAGCCATGACGCCGTCTGGGAATAAAGTTGCGTTGTCTTCATGGCTCATGTTTGTGGTTTTAGAAGAGCGATATAGAACCGCCTGGAATGCGAATGCGTTGACGTATAGTTGTAAGTACTGGAATTGTAGGGTTAGGAGACAGCGCAGAGACGGGGGAATGTCGACATTTGACCAGGTTCCCTTCCACATCTCCATTGCTTTGGCGGAATCGTCGAGGTACTTGGGGTAGTCGCCAACGAGCATTATCTGTAGTGTGCGCGACTTTAATGCGTACAGAATGTCGTGGGTGTTTCCGAAGATAGTTGTTAGGTCTACTTGGGCCTGGACAAAGGAGGCGTAATCCGTTCCGCCAGTAATTTCCGGTTGGAGTGATGGGTAATCTTGGCTGCTGAATCGGGTCGACAGACTAGGTCCGCGGGACCAGAATGCTTGGCCCATTTGGATTGATATTTGCCGGTCGGCGAGATAGGTAACTAAAACAGTTAGTCGTGATGTTGAGTCGTGATACCTGAGGTCGGGATCGCATACATATCCACGCCAGTCGTCTCCGGCAGCGCATACTAAGTGGCTCGGATTCCACCTCAAAAGGAAAGGATTGTGTATCTAAATGTAATAGGTATGCCTGTCTGACTGCAAGTCCTATCAGATTCCATGCTACGCAGTCTTCATCATATGCATTGCTCTGCTCAGAGTTATTGCTGTAGGGCTGATCCTGGGAAAGCATTAGATGAGGCATCCACTCAGCTAAGAGTAGCAAGCCTTCAACAGTTCCAACATGTCGCACGCTCCGAGCCCCAAGGGTGACACGGAGGATTAGCTTATCAATATACCCCCTGATCCGGGTGTGAAGATGTTTCTGATCCGGCCTGTTCTGAGTGGCTATTGTAAGGACGGAGGCAAGGAGAAACGTCTCGGTAGCCCATTGATGCTCGGGGTCTTCTGTGTATAATAGACTGCTGGACACGATAGGAAAATAAGGATGGTAATTTATGCCATAGCTTGTTGTATCCTATGTGTTAGTGCAGGCACTATAGCCATGGAAGCGGGACATACTAGTGTACCAGGGGTTCAATGTCGAGTGCGTCGATTACTCCCTCCTTGACGATCTCTGTGGCCATTATAGATGCCCTGGGTTGATTGTGAATTTTACGAGGCACAGACTTCACCACCTCATGCCCTGTGTCATGGGATCTTGGAGAGGGCCTCTCGGGCGAAGGTACGCTGTCATCTCCCCCCGCAGTGGCGGCTGTCTGAGCAAGGATTTGAAGAGCTTCTAAGGGATTCCGGACACCCCCACTGAAAAGGGGGTTACTGTCCACGCCCACCGTTTCTGCCTGCAAGGTAATCGGCTGTAGTTCTGTCTTGGTTTCACCCTGCTCAGTGGACCTCGGGGTCTGCGTCTCAGTGTTTTCCCGACGACGACCCCGAAACTGAGAGTAGTCACCTCCTCTTCGGGAAGTGGCTGGTAGGCATTGATGGCCTTTCAGGTTGCACTTTGAGCATGGCGCATGGGTTCCTCCTCCCGTGTATTTTCTGGGATGGTGGATGTGAGACGCAATGAAAGGTGTGGGATATGGGCAGTACCTACAAATCACATTTTGTTTTCCGTTGCCGACAACGAAGACATGCCCGGTAGAGCCTTGCGCCTGTACTTCGAGTCATGACCGCTGGACAGATTGATTGAATTCAGATCAGAGACAAAATGGGGATGAGAGAGACGTCGGCTGTAGAAGTGCGGGACAGATGCGGGGTTCCCCAGGGTCGGCAATAGACGGCTGTAGGTCTGTTGGTCTGCCCTATATCAAGGAGAAGCCATCCACGCCATCGAGCCTGACATATTCTCTGATTCAATCTCCTCAGTTAATTTGTTCTGCCTGTTTGTAACGAAGTGCAACCATCATCAGTTATCCTTTTATCCCTACTACAAAATGTCAACAACGACTCTGTGTGAATCCGAGGTCTTTACCTCCGCTCGTCTCGTAGCAAGCAATTGCAAACTACCTCCAGATGATAAATACGGAGAATACTATCCCACAGATCCCAAAAACGTCAAGCTCGAATCCAACTTTGGGCCCATGTTGCCGGAGAAGATCGGATACCTCCAACCCACATCGAAAGACACACCGATTGAGGTCATGCGGGAGAGACTTATCCGTGATGGGTATCTATTCGTAAGTCCCTCCTTGTCATCGTTTGGCTCCCATACCAATCCAAATCAAGGTCAAGAATCTGCTCCCACGGGACCAAGTGCTGGAATGCCGCAGGAGCTATTTCTCCTACATGGCGCCCTCTGGTCTTCTCAGAGAAGGAACAGACCCCGTCGACGGAATCTTCAGTGACAAAGATAGTCGCAAGTACTTGCCCCCGGGAAACCTGCGGCGACTTTTCGGCCTGAAGAATGACTATGAGTCGGACAAGTATGTGGAGCTGATGATCAAGGCGCATGAAGAGAGATTTTATCTTCAATTGTGCGAGAGTACCGAGCTACGGGACTTCATCCGCAAACTCACGGAGTGGAAAGACATCACGATGCTTCAGCGGACAATGCTACGTGCCTTTGTGCCCGACAGTGAGCTGACTCCTGTTCACTTCGATCAAATGTACCTTCGCGCCGGTCCGCCCACCAGCCTTACAGCGTGGGTCCCGATAGGAGATGTTTCGCTTGAGGGTAGCGGGCTGATGTACCTTGAGAAATCGGTCGATATCGGTCGACAGACCGAAGAAGAATTCGCGCGGAATGCAGCAAATCTGACTGATGAGGAGCGTGTCTCGGCGTTCAATAAGAACATGAATGATGGGGGTTTTCTCAGTCGTGATACAGTCGCGTATGGTGAAAACGCCAAGCGTAAGTGGTTGATTACCGAATATGAAGCTGGGGATGTGATCTTCCACGACCCCTTCCTGGTGCATGCTAGCTGCAAGAACAAGGACCCTGGAAGGAGGATTCGGCTGGCTACTGATCTCAGATTCGTGAATTCCAATGAGCCGTATGACAAGGTATGATTCCCAAGCATAATTGCCACGGAATAAAGACTGATAGGACTGCAGCGCTGGATGAAGGTCTGGCGTCCGCTCGACGGGCTGTGATGGTTATCGGAAGCATTACGCTCGAGTAGTGAAGGCATGAGCCTTCCTGTACTTGGTGTGCCATAGTTATTGTTTTAAGACTAGCCGTAGCATCTGCATATCTCAGGATATTTACTTGCATCACCATTTCATTATAGAGACGGCATATCGTCGCGTAATCAAGTCCCGCCATAAGACGATTACTCGTACTCCCTCATCAGCGTATTCACCTCAATCTCCTTATCAAAGTCCACCAAATGGGTCGAATGACACCAAGGCTTGATCGCCTCTTCCTTCCTAATCACCCCTGAGAAAAATTCACACCACTTCAATCGCGGATACGCCTCATTGATCTGTCTGCGAGTTGTCCGATGAACCAAGCCCTCAAAACCCTCCACATGCGGATGAACTCCGGTATTATCATATGTAGTAGCCAACTGAATAAGCTGACCGAAATACGTAATAGTTCCATCGACGCCCATATCCTGATGTCGAATGATCGCCTCAGCAACGGCCTCGGCCTGGTCCGCAGTGGCACCAAACTCCTTCAGCACATGGACGGCCTTGATACCGCCGTAAATATCGAATGACATGCGCGTTGCAGTTAGGTTCTCCTCCGCAGTGCCGATGTCGTGGAGGAGGCAGGTTAGCGCCCAGGTGGCTGGGTTGACGGATGCTGCTTTTTCGGGGAATTGCTGGGTGGTGATTACCATTCCTGCGGTTATATGACGTAATGAGTATAGACACTTTGATGTGTTGACTATAGACGCACCGTAGAAGTAGACTCTCATGGAATGGTTCAATGTCTGGGGGTGAAGGACAGCCCTGGCGTATGCCAACGTCTTTGAAACGACAGGATCGTCGAAGGGGAATTTGATCGTATCGAGCTGCATGGCTTCTGCCCTTTCGATGAAGGATTGGTCCGCAAATATGGCACCGGCATTGGCGGGCATGCTGGACCAGCCGTTGGCCTTTATTTCGTCGTTGCACATTCGTTTAGTTATAGGAGATGATGATGGTTTAGTGATGGGTTGAGTAGAAGAGGAGTGGCTGTCCTGCTTGAAGGGCTGTTCATTTCAATGCCGGAATGTCGAAACAGCCCTTTATATATCCTACAGCGCGGGGCTGGATTATTGCATCTTGCTCAGACCCCGCTGATATTTTCGTCATCTTGTCGTCGCAATTTAAAACTCCTTTGGGTAGTATTTTGACGTGGCGTCCTGTTGGTTTATCTGGTTCACAATGTCGCAGGCCTGGGGCAGCGGAATCGGCGCGCCCTACTGATTTGGATTACTCGATTAGGCAGTCTTTTGGAGTGGGGCTTGCATAAAGTAACCAATGGCAAGATAAATACCCGTCAGCGGGTCATGTCGCGCTGATGTCCGATTATCTTTCCGTTATCACCATCACTGTGATCATCTTCTCGAAGGCACAAGGCGTTTTCTTTCAGCTTTTGTTGACCACCAATGGCCAAAATGGCACGTCTCATATTGTAAAACTGTAGTGCAGCTCGCGCATTTAGATTAGTAGCCAATCGCCTTCTACCTGGCCCATTCGAAAAATCCAGCTGCATGAGGCGTCTTCCACCTCCGATGGGTCAACCCAAAACCTCTCTAGGATTGTTACCGCATTTATCACATTGATGCATTTGGTTTCGAACCAAAAGCTGTCCAGAAATTCTCTGACTTGACTCCTTTGGGCTTGATCTTCAGACTCCAACCCTGCAATGAAAAGGGGCCATAGTATGCACTTAAAAATCGCTTCATCCTTCCTCAATATGTGAACCTCGTGGACCAGGCCTGTTACCAAGTCACTCAATGGAGTGTTGTTTCCAGTTAGCGCATCACAGATGCGCCACCCGTATATCAGTGTTGCAGATTTATAAGCCTGGGCTAAATGTTCCAGCGACTGTACATTCTGTGTTTTTGGAGTGAGGGATGAGACTCGTAGAGTCTGGTTCGCCCAACCGTAGCAATCGAAGAGGTTGGTAGAGTTAAGCACACTTGTGACTGACTGTAGCAAAGAGTATGTCTCAGGCGTATCTAGGTGTCTTGGGTCAGTTAAGCGATCCCTGGCTGCTGAGAAGAATCGAACAGCAGATAGCAGATACTCAGGGCAACCGATATAGGCCCTGTCGATACTCATTTGTAGCGGTGCAGCGAGGGACATATCCGCCCCGGACAATACTTTGCGACCGGAAAATGTAGCGCCAAGCGTTTCAATACTGGAACGGACAACATGTCAAAACGGCACATTCCATCCTATGGTTTGATACTGGAGCCTTACAGGTAGATTTGCCCCAGGATAAATTCCCGCATGCCTTCAATGGTTGCTTCTAGGTTCTGCGAAGTTCCCGCAGTATGCATGTCATGAACAAGTTGCTTGATGCCACCAAGATGGGATTTCCACTGGTCGCGCCCCGATTCCAAGAGATCGAGGAAGATCAATACGAACGCACTCAGAACCAGAACGTCTCGCGAGTTCGGTACTGGATCGTTGAGCGCCTGGATTAACCCGCGTATGGCCTTTTGTTTGTACATCAAACCATCAGGATGCGCCTGAAAGCGTGTCGCGTGGTCTCCATCTTGCCTTTCACAATATAGCTGCTGACCGTTTGCCATGTGGCGCGCTGATATAGCCATGACCGAAGCAGTCAAGACTGGATTAGCCAACGCTGCCGGAATGAGTTGCCTCAAAGGGTTTCGCTGACTGTCGAACATGACAAACAACTTGCACACACATCTGCTATCTGACTCTGTCATTAGGTGTGAATCACATCGCATTTGCTTGAGCATACTGACAGTAATTCAAGTAATACATGGAAGCTTCATCCAGGCTGTCAAAGGCGGGATCCTTCAAGCTGGGTGGAATGCTTAAGTGGATGCTGCTGTGACCTCTATTGTGCGAAACGGTTGACTGTCCGTTCCTTTCGCCAGGGGCTATGGCTTCGAAAGTTGGTGCTGCCAAGCCAGAATCACAAATAGAAGATACCTCGTCAGTAGCTTTGTTGAATGTGCTGGGTTGATATAAGCGATGGGTTTGTGAAGTTCGCAATTTATTCCGAAAAGCCGGCCCGTCGACCCAACGGAGGGGTCTTTTTTGAAGGCACTCTAGACCTGCCTTTATGCACTTCTTACACGGTGGTAGGGTCATTTGGCATTCGACATGCCTACGCCGGCAAGTATAACATGATGTGAGCATTATGGACGCCAACGAAGCTTACTTCAATGTATGTGGGTTGGAATGGGAAGATGTCCCGAGAGTTGGACATCGATTGCCTCTCAGCGGGCCAATATGTTACAAAGATAGGTCATGTGATAGCGCCAGAATAGTTTCTCCTTCCACTCCAACACATCCTCTTCCTTGAACACATCAACAGTGTTCCACTTTCAGCTATTCTTAGCTATAGTGTGCGCATTGGCGGGCAAGCAAGGTCATTTATCCAGGCGTATGTTGGACTTGACTCGTTGAGACCCATGTCTGCATTTATTGCGAAGTAGAAGTAGACGCAGGCTTGCACAGCTACTGAGTAGACAATTACTAGTCTCCTTGCAATTAGATCTGTTTTGACAAAATTAGTCACCTTCTGACATCAGTTCCAGATGCGCAAGTAGTACTCAGACGATGTCAGGCTCGAATCCTATCCTTTGTTGTCAACTAAAATATCTTCCACTTTCTTTGCTATTCTTCCCAGAGACCATAATACCATTGGTAACTATTTACAACTGTTAGGAACTTATCCCACGATGGCCTATCCATCCGTTGTGCTATCTATTGAGCAAAGACTATTCATCCATGGCACCATCTGTTTGTACAAAGCTATTTCAATCCCTTTGTTTTATTGGACTTCAGACTAAAAGATATATAGACCAGCTGTAACCCTTGCTGTTATGTCTTCACATGCAATCAAAGCCACATTATATACTCACTGTACTGTGTTCTATATACCATAACGCTCCATATTACTCGCCAAAATGAAGCTCTATATTATTTCCACTATCATGACTATCATGCTCGCAGCACGGGCTGCCCCTACCAGCGATGGCCAAGACACGCCAATAACTGGCCTCGGGACTCGTAGCGTTGCCAGCGGTTGCTATCCCTTGTATGATACTATCTCAAGGCCATGATGAGTGTCTGTTGCATTTTTGAGATACATTCGCTGACTGATAACATAGTGCTTCCCCTCGTTGCGGTCTCTCTGAAACATACTGCCAATGCGCTGACGGTATGTAAAAGCACCAGTACTCTAGCATTTCAGGTCTATCACTAATTCAGTATGTAGGGCGATTTTACGAATACAACGATAAAAAGGGATGTAACCCTCCCGGTGGAATTATCTCGGAGTCAGTGACTGGTATTCCGGGATACACCTGCACCTAGCCGGGAACCTTCCATCGTTTATGTTGAACATAAACCAATCAAATTATTTCTTTTTACTCTGGTATGCTTTGTTTCATCGTCTTGACTTTGTATCCTGAAATAAGGCCGTTCATTACAGTACTCTGTGCACCTTTTGTTCTATCTGAAGTGCTTTGTTCCTAATCAGGTCATTCCTTTCTCTCTCAATGTTTGGTTTGCAGTCCGGGTCTTTGTCTTTTTGTGGTTGTTCCGTAGTTTATGAGCCATTGTCCAAATCATCATAATATATCGTGAGCCTACCTAATCTTCGAATACTTGTTGTTCAAGTGCTTGGAGGGTCATCTCCAAGTACGTATGATGATCAAACTCTGCACAGCAACCTTGTTCATTACGAAAATTGCTTTCCTGTCTGAACAATCCTTGCTCCAATCAATAAAGCACATGTGGAGTTTCCTATATATCAAAATTTGCCTTGCTTCACATCTCGCTTGTCTGTGGCTTACAACATCATAAGAATCCATGCTCTTGCTTGGAACCGGTTAGGAACCCCGCTGGGCTGTGATGGGGTCGGAAAGTATAGTGAATCAAATTGGACATTGAAGTATAATCATACAAGCTAGGTATGAAGACACCTGTGAAGTAGAGAACAAAATCTGCCAATATAGATAGGAAATTAGCGCCCAGCTGTAAACTTCGTACATAAACCACCTTGTCTCCCCACTCCACCCCAGGTCACCTTTCACGTGACGCATTCATTAAACGCCCAGGCTGCCAACAAAGACAACGCAACTACTTAGGCAACCAGTATCTCAACTTCGTCCATCACAGACCCATACAGTCAACATCTACCACTCTATAACCTTATCTAAGACCAAAAATGAACCCCCCAAAACAACCACCCACCCACGCCATCTCTATCAACATCTACGGGCGCGGCGATGCCACCCTCGGCGACAGCCCTTCCCACATGGGCATAGCGGTATACGAGATCGGCGCGTCAAGCTGCCAAATGCACCACATCCGTAACCCCACCGACGAATATTTCATCTACGATCCACGTGTCCAACCTTTGCAAGATGACCCTGTCCTGAGAGGACGTTGTGAATTGATCACCTTCCGCCAGGAAGAAAGTGAACATGTGAACAACTTACTCTCCTCTTTTGGAAAGGACGCATCAAATATTCCCGAATTTGGTGTGGGTAATTGTCAGGATTGGGTAGCTGGTGCGGTGGCGATGCTTGAGGATGCTGGTGTGTTAGGGACTGGGGAGGGGGCATTCTGGAAGAGTATGATCAATGAGGGCGCAGAGAGTATTAAGCGTGCGTGTGGGGATTCGGGGAGGAAGTGGATTGATGGGCCGGAGGTGGTGTTTGAGGGGGAGCCGGATGCGAGGTTTAAGGATGAGGGGGGTAAGAAGGAAGTAGGGAAGTTGAAGGATAATGAGGCTTTTCGGGAGAGGATGCAGGCGTTGATGGGAAAGAGTGGGGGTAGTGGTAATGGGGAAGGAGGAAAGGGAGATGTCGCTGAGAGACCGTTTTATGTGTCGAGTCCATTTTTTAGTCAGACGAATAGACGTGGGTAGACTGATGTTGTTCGTTATTGTCATCGTCGTCCTTACGACTTTCGCTGATCGATCAGGAGGTAGGACATGTCTATTATATCCGAATCGCTGGTTGATAAAGCTTTGATATTTTTACCTTCCTGCGTGACCTGTGAAAGAGCTCTGGTGTACACCAAATTTGCACTCAACTCACTGCCTGCAAATAATCATAGCGATAGTTCACGTTGTATTTGTATCACTGCAACATTTATTCAGCAGAGAAATGCTATTCCGAACAACGTCCAATGCACGGCATCGGACAATATCATTCACTCTATATACATGCCACTCCAGTTTTTATAGTATGCACATTTACTCCTTCTTCTCCTCCATCTCCTCGAAGCGTCTGAGGTCCATGGGCTTCTCCAAGAGAGGGATGACGTAGGGGTCAAAGGTCTTCCAGTAGGGGTTCTCGAGGTGGTACTTCTGGGAGCCCTCGTTGAGGTAGCGCTCAACGATGCAGAAGTCCTGCTTGTCGTGGACACTCTGCATGACGAACCAGGACAGGGTCTCCTTGTCCTTGGAGTAGACGGCCGAGGCTTCGATGAGCTTGGCGTGGAGCTTGGAGATGCTCTCCTCGTCGGGCTTAGCGCGGAGGTCTATTGCATTGCTATGTCAGTATAATCGTGCCAATGGTGGATTCAGTAGAATAGAGTTAGGGGCTTGGAAAACGTACGGACGACGATAGTGTAAACCATTTTGACGGTGTGATGGGAGGATCAAATGGGGATGTTGTGGGCGAGAAGGAGGGGATGGAGGGGTAACGGGGTTCTTAAACGTGGGCGGGCAAGATTGAGTTATTTTTAAGAGTTGGGGTGGGGCGGATGAGTTACTGGTTAAGGTGTTCTCGGTGAGGATCCGAGGATGAAGCTTATGGGTTCCAGTTCCGCGAGATAAGCTTAAGCTTGGGTGTGATGGGTTGGGGTTGCACTTGGGTTCTAGCCCGGGCATAGGATTTGCGTACATTCGCTATAACACTCTCTGTAGCTTTACAGAAGAGTGACAACTTTGGAAATCTCATAGTCCCAATTGTTAACACATGGCATGGTGATGCTCGGGGATACTTCGGCGAGTCTGCATCGACCCATATATGACCCCACATTTCACTTTGTAGATGTGCAGCATGCGTCCCTTGCATAACTGATGATCAATGTAATGGAGAGCATTGGGTTCACTATCCTAGCGACATAAACTGAGTTGTTGAAGACTTCATCACCAGTACTTACTAAATACATACATTTGTCCAGCTGGTCGGGGCGCAGTGATTATGATGAGGGATATGGTCGACGTGTGTAAAATGTATGATTAATCCAGGGTCCCTTCCACTCTCATATGAGCTCCTCGTGCATCCGAAAGCACCATTTGGCTGAAAGACTTGGACATTAAGGCGCAAATTGTCCAAAGTCGAGTTCAGTGTTGAATCGGTCTGCCGAGCAATTTCGGCAGCTTAAGATCGGGTTCGGATGTGGTGACGTCATAGCAGACTGGCGGAGGACTTATGATAATTTCAACAGGTAATCTGTGCATAAGTTCATTGATAAAAGTATGCATGGTCGACTTTATAATCACTCTGAAATCTAGATGCTTCTTTCACTCAGCACTACACACGTAGATGGCCTATGCTAGGTTACTGGGGCCTGTCTTTCTTTCACGGCCGACTGTTCACTACTACTATCCAGGGAACATTGCTGTAACAGAATTATAAATGTCAGTTGTATCTACCTTGCATATCTATAATACTTGTGAGAAACATTTCTATTTGATTAACAGGCTTTTCAGTAATCTCTTCAAGTGGGGTACTATTCTGCAGAATAATAGGGTTTTACTTGTAAGTCAAAGTCACGTCAGCCATGATATATATAAGCGGGAGTGTGACCATCAACGCAACCCTTAGCAGACACTACTTTGATTACTACTTAGTAGTAGTATGAACAGAAGTTTTGCTCCCCATTCCTGCATATTCCAGTTCCGAAGTGAAGTACCGCGTCCTATAGGCAATTCACAACCCTCTACATTCAATGCGCCTTCATTGATCCTCTAAAGCGCTAGTCTCTGGGCCCCCCCGCAACCACCACGCTGAGTGCGGGACAGTCAAAAGCTCGTATTCACACAAAAATAAATCTCACGATGAGATATATCAGGTCGCCAACTCTACGGTGTTCCCGACATTATGACCTCTTTAGGAAAATCATGTTGAGACAGTACGCGGGAAGACCTGGGATCTCCGATGCCAAGGAGCCACCGCGACCATTTATAGCTTAGGCGAGGCAAATGTTTCAAACCCGTCGGTTCCCTCCGCTCTTCATTCGCGATGTCTCACCTCTACCAGCTGATGTGCATGGAGAGGACCCTGATTCCTCAAATCGAACAGCTCTCTTCGTTCATCTCTCTTCAAGATACGAGGTGGATAAAATTCTGTCGATGCCAGGGTGAAGAGATATAAAAGCCCCCTGGAGGGACAAGAAAAGCCCACTCTTTCCGGTCAGACTCATCAGCTTGCTTTTTTGAGAGCTACATTCTGGAATTCCCAACATGTTGGTCTTCCCCACAATTGCCACTCTCGTGGCTCTTGCAGCCTCGTCCACCGCCATTCTGCACCCCCGCTCTATCACTCCCCCAGAGGGATGTCCTATCCCCACCTGGGAAGTTACCACCTTCCGTTGGTATAACGGGTCAAAGAGCCTAGACTGCGTCCATAACCAGGCAGACATCAACTTCAAAGATTGTCTATGCGGCAATGGCTGGTGTGCCCCCGACCCTGCCACCTGCAACGGCAGCATGGTCAATGTTTGCTGGACCGGAATGCCCAATTACCAACCCTGGGGATATGGTCCGCCTGAAACCCTTGACATCGACTTTGCCGATGGGTTGACCTGCCACGACGAGTACATCGGGTATCGAGTTCATGACATCGGAAACGGAGCATCTAATTGTGGATACGCGGATCGGGGCGAGGGAAGGATCGTCTCTTTCTATGGCAGCTCCAATTATGCGACTTCCACGGGGCATATGGACTATGTCTTGGGAGATGGGCATGCGCTGGAATGTGCAAATGGTAGCTTGATTACCTATTCTGGCAGTACGGATTTTACTTTGACATGCACGCATGATCAGTATTTCAATGCGACATGTACGGCGCCAGATTTTGTTATTCCAGTGTTGAGTTATGAGTGGGTGTCCTAGCTTGGGCGTGATCAAGGGGGGGCTGGAAAAGTTGGTAGTGGCTCAGCTGAGTGTCAAGTCGATTAAACACGATACATGCATGAAGTATTGGATAGTCAAATATATGGGCAGGTTCGGACCCATCCCTCTGGCTTTGGGTCCGAGTACGGAAATTCTCACCAATGTGCGCTGTATTCAGTATGCTTTTGCACCGCTGTTAGATGGCCATGTTCCATGTTCTTTTTAACTAGTCACAGTAGCCCATTTTACCCAAACTCGAATATTTGGGAGCAACACAATGCCTTTGTTGTTGCTCAGGTACACAATAAACAATTACCGTATATGGAACATAAAAGCAATGTGCAGAATGAAACTTTTATCCAAGCCAGTCCCCTAAGAAAGCCTTATATTACCAGAAAATTCATATTCTGAGCATCGGCTGGGCAGTTATTTGATGCCCAACCCTCCGACAATATGCTGTGTATCCCAAGGGACGTGATACTTATGCGCTGGGTTCAAATCGTTCATCCCAGAAAACTTGACACATAATATCAGTATGGTTTCCAACTGTAGAAAGGCGCAAACTTAGGAAAGTCGGGCTTTAGTGTTGTGGCTCCCGGTAAGGCGCGGGGAAGTCCACTCGGAAGCAGCCGGGGTGTCGATCATGGCCTGGCAAAAGCAATCGGGACCTTCGTATCTGCAGCCATCCGATAGTTGTCTGCTTGTAGATGTCATGTCACTTTTCTATGAGCATTTGATCAAAACATATCCAATGGAATTCTATATTCCATGCAATTATTCTACACCTAGAGGACCTCCGGGGTTTCCGGATATTCTTGGCTCTGCAGGGTAGAATCAGCTGGATGGTAGGCCTAATGTCTTCTCCTCGGTAATGAAATCTATAACTCCGTTCAAGACTATATAATGGCTGAGATATCCCACCAGAAACAAAGTATCATCCATTGCAATCAACCTCACAATCACATACAACAAAGTCCTCAAAGACAACTACATATCCACAATGCAGTTCTCCAAGTCTATCGTGGCTACCGCCCTTGCTCTCTTCGCTTCCAGCGCTGTTGCAAGCACAGTCGATGTATGTGGAGAAACCAATCATTTTACACCTGCTCATTCGGCATCCATGTCTCGAGATCTCTTCTTTGTCCATCTGCTAACCAATATGGATTTAGATCGCCTACACCTCCAATGGCGCTTACTACAACCAGCAGGTCGAGCCTTACCAACGTACTCCGTTGACTCAGCCGTACGTTCCTCATCTCGTTAAAGACCTTCTACAAGTACGACGCTAACAACTCCACAGTGGATCCATTAGCACCTTCCAGAACACTGCCAACTGCTATCTCTTCAAGTAAATATCATCTTTCCCAATGGAGTGGTTATAACTGGACTTGTCACTAACATCCACCGCTATAGCTACTATGGCCAGGAGGTCTACTATGTTGCAGCGGGTGCGACGAACATCGACCCTCCAGTCAACGCTGCATCCGTCCAGTGCCAAGACCCCTCTTCCAACTAGATAAGTGCCGGCTTGACGTGATATGATTAATGCATTGGTTTCTTTGACGGTGCATTGTATCCACGCATCCGGGTACAGAATTCTGTACGCCATGTTGAAAGACTGCTGGGTATGCAAGGGTATGTGGGAAATTTGATGGAAGGCCAGATTGAAAGTCCTGTGAAGTAATGGTGGCCAGCTACAGAGAATGCCATAGTTTTAATCATAACATGCTTCAATGACACATGTATGGGCAACATATTCCGTATCTGTCTCTCGATTGGTGATAAGGAGAGAAGGTTCTTGGCAACTAGATGTATCCATTTCGATAAATTGTTCACTAAAACTTGGTCCAGATAAAGTAAGATAGATTCCAATTTTGCTGCATTTTCGGTGTTTTTGGAGTGCTACCGGCTAGCTTTGCGTGCGAGCTGAGGGTGCGTAGTAGGGATCAACTGCCTACGGAAAATCTTTGCTCATGTATAAAGTAGACAGACGGTTGCTAAGGTTTAATGACTTTTCTTCAAACCATTGCAAAACTCGACAATGTAAATCTGCATTCCGTGGGATCTATCAACATTGTAACTTTGACTGCAAAGCCACGATATGACATTGATCAAGCAACTCATACGAACGGATTTTCCAGTGAAGCAGCAAAGCATAGCACCATAATTGCTCACCTCTGGGTTTTATTGGGGCTGTCGGCCTTGATCACCAGTCATTTCCAGCTTGAAGGGATATACACATGTCGGGAATCACTTTAGATGTTCGCGTAGTTATGCTATATCTAATTGAGAAAATAAAAATCGTTCTGACGCAAAAAATTGTACCTCATTGCATTTAAATTTAATTCAGCCTTCTCATAATGTCCGCGAACGAATTAGACATGACATTGTTATGTATTGCACAGCCATCCTCAACTATGCTGTGTAGCCCTACAACATCCTTCTAAAGGTGCAATATAGATTACTTGATATAATAAAAAAGCGTGTGATAGACCCTTTTGCATATTGCGCTTTGATGTAACAATACGCTGCAGCAACTACACATGGTTTAATTGACTTGAGCCGGTTTAGATCCCTCTCAAGTAGGGGAATACTAACGGCCGGCGCGCTCTCAGTCACTAGTTTACATCAGATCTGCCGGCTACCCCCGTCGCAGCAGACCCGAGAAATACATCCGAATTCATTGACATTACGATGTCAGCGACTGATGCATGTGTTGCATTGTTTCTTATTTGAATGCGCTAGTACTATTCCCTGATCACTACTCCAGAAGGGGATATTAATTGCAATGTACCATTCCCTCCAGTGTCTACCATGCTCCGGTTGTCTCGTGCAACCCTTCCCGCGGAGAATGCAACTTGGGCATGTGAAGGGGTCCGGCTAATCCACAATATTCAGGGCATCAACATAAAACGTTAAACATGTTCGAAGTGTAGCCGAACTCTTTGATTATCAATTCATCTCAAATCAGGCGATCCACCTCACACCTACGCAATCACGACACGAACATTCACAATGCAACTCACCACATATATCCTAGCCACTGCAATGGCGCTCTCATCTGGCGTCTTTAGTGAGCCCCTAGACGTATGTCCACAGCGTACCATTCCTATGAACATGATACAGTCAAAGTTTATTCTTCCATTTATCTCTAGAATGTGTATATGAACATGTATAGATTGTCTATACCTCGGACGGCGTTGACCACACCCAAGAGGTACCGTGTGGTGAACTTGTTGACCTTGACTACCCATATGCGTTCTTCATTCAGGAATATACAATATGATATGTTGAGGAGCGCTCTACGGAAGCAACGAAATAAATAAAATGAACAAACAGAAGTAAAAGAGTAAGTTGAATTAAGCTATCTAGGAGAATGAAATAAAGTAATATATAAAAATACTTTGTATAGGAGATCTGAGTACAGTATATAACTAGTTTATATAAATATCTTAACACGGTCCTCTAGATAAAGAAGTATATAAAAAAATATTAAATAAAGTTATAGATATTTTTTAAATAAATAATCTTTTATATATTAAATATTATTTTCTGGATACTATATAAGTATAATTAATAAAATTATCTCTAGAAGAATCTGAAAATTATAGAATTTCTTTTAATTTAATATTTTAGTAAAACTGTATGCAGGGTTATAAATACCTATAATATATTAAATTAATATAATATTACCTATAATATATTAAATTAATATAATATTTATTTTAATAAAATCTATTATAAATAAATAATAATTATCTAGCTACTTAATAGACCGCGTATAAATACTATAATTAAGAATTTATAATAAATTAATAATATTATTAAATAAAGATATCTTACTGTCATCTAATATTTTAAGATTAAATATTTATATTAATTTTTTAATATATAAAATATTTTTAATAGTAGTATTATACACGCAGTATTCTATAATAATAAAAAAAAATATAATAATATTTTATTTATTAAATAATTAAATAATAGAACCATCTGTATAAAATATAATTTATTTTTTTATTAATTTATTATTCTTATAGTTAGTATAAGTAATATTTATATAAATTTTAATTTTTTTAATATAATCAGCTGCTAGAATAATTCTATAAGAAATAATATTATATAAATATTTATATATGTTTTTTAATATTTTTATATTTATTATAATAGAAACGTGCATGCACCTCTATAAGTAAAATATAATAAAATATAAATTAAGTTTTATTTTAATAATTAGCTAGTTTAATCTATCTATAAAACTTTAATATTTATTAATATTAATTTTTTTAATTAATATCTTAATATAATCTATTTTTATATAAATAAATATTATAAGAATAATAATACCTGAGTAGAATTATATTCTAATAATAATAAAATATTTTTTTATATAAATAAATTATTTAAGTAAGATACTATTTATTTTATAATTATAAAAAATATTATAATTAAGCAGAATTTTTAATTTATCTAATTCTTTGAATTTAAATATTTTATTTAAATAATATTTTATTAAAATTAGATTTATTTACTCAGGGCCAGTAATAATAGAATTATTTATATAAATAATAAATTATATATTATTATTTCTGTATATACACAGATTTTTTAACAGGGATTTAAAGCTGACTTTCTATAATTTTTTATTAAAAATATAATATTAAAAATATATTATTTATTATAATTTATAAAGTATTATTTTAAGTAAATATACATATTCAGAAGAATTCTTATAGAATCTAATTAATTATTTTATATAAATTTACTTATTTTTTATTTGCGCATGTAAATAAATAAAGATTTTTTAATATTATATTAATTATAAATATTTTAAAAACAATCTCACTTATTACTAAAATAAAGGATTTAGTATAATTAATATTAGATATTTAATAATTATTATAAACTATCTAATAAATATAAAATTATATAATAATATTTTCTATATTAATTTTTAAATTAAATATTTATTTATTTAAAATTACACAGGTGCCGGCAGGTTAGTTAATTATTTTATAAATATTTATTAATTTAATTTTATTAATCTATATAACTATGGCTTTCTTCTAGTATAAAATAAATAAAAATAAAATAACTTTTATATAAATATTTAATATATTAATTTTATATTATTTAAAAATAGATAGAAGAGGCAGATCAGATTTTTACTCTAATATAATTATTTATTTATTTTCTAGCTATAAAGAACTTTTTTTTAATAATTTATTAAAATTATTTTAATATAATAATTATAATAATAAAAGATTCAGATTTAATAAATTAAAAATCTTATTTTATATATTTAATAGAT